AGCTGGTCTTGGCTAAAGTAACTCTAAACCAACTTCAAACAAAATATATCTCCCAGTAAGAGAGACAAAATACACTGCCAGATATGTTTAACTGCCAATCAGATAAAGATTGAAAAAAAATTCAAAATGGTATAAAGAATCTAGACCTCAGCCACAGTTCTGACAAAAGTTTACACTGCTGTGACCTTTCTGGGTAGCAGTCTAGTGATAGACATCAAAACGAAAAATATGTATTTCCTTCAACCCAGTAACTAGACTCAGAAAGTCACCCTAGGGACTTCCCTAGCAGTCCAGTGGCTAAGACTCCATGCTCCCAATGCAGGGGGCCCAGGTTTGATCCCTAGTCAGGGAACTAGATCCCACTTGCCGTAACTAAGAGTTCACATGTTGCAACTAAGACCCAGCAGAGTCAAATCTATAAATATTTGAAGAACAAAAAAGAAGAAAGCTACAGAAAGTTGCCCTAAAGAGCCACCAGCATGCGACATTGTACATACAATGCATATATATTAAGTTTAAACACTAGACAAACAATTTAAACAATCTAAATACCCAACAATAGTAAAAACTATTAAATTATGGTGCACACATTCAATAAAACACCAAGAAACTAAAGGATGGAGTAAATGCAAAAGTACTGACCTGGAAAGCCACCACGGACCTTGGTTTTTAAGCACACTGCATGTCTTCAGTCGCCAAGTCGTGTCCAACTCTTGCGACCCCATGGACTGCCGCCCACCAAGCTCCTCTGTCCATGGGATTTCCCAGACAAGAATACTGGAGTGGGTTGCCATTTCCTTTTCTGGGGGATCTTCCCGACTCAGGGATCAAACCCATGTCTCCTGCATTGGCAGGCAGATTTTTTTTTTTTTTAAACCACTGAGCCACCTGGGAAGCCCCTTAAACATATTACTACGACGAAAAGGCCGCCATCAGCCAAGCTCCCACTGCTACTCCTGGTCACACCTGGAAGAAGGACTCCAAGACCCAGCCTGAGAAGGGCTGGCTGCTATCAGTGGTGTCGGTCTTCTGAGAAACGCTCAAAGAAAGTCAGTCTACAGTCAACCTGTCAGGCAGAAATAAACACAAGCTGCCCAGCAACCTATGGCAGTTACAGGATTAATAAAATAGACCCTCTGGTCTACACTGAGGAGCTTACACAGCAGAATATTCACTGCAAATCCAATATGGGAGATTTTCAAACTGCAACCAATAAATCTGGAGAAAGGAATGGCAACCCACTCTAGTATTCTTGCCTGGAGAATTCCATGGACAAAGGAGCCTGGTGAGCTACAGTCCATGGGGTCATAAACAGTCGGACATGACTCACGACTTAATGACTAACACACAAACCCAGCAAAGAACTGGCAACGCTGGTGATGTTTATGGCACAGACTGGTCACTGCCACCCAGAACATCTAGACAACTTTCCTCAAGAACCAAAACACCTTCTCTCTTACACTGCCCTGAATGTAGACCTCCCAATAACACTTTGCAAAGCTCTGACCTCACCAAGAACCTCATCAATCCATCAAGGCTGCCAGAGTTCTTTTTTGAACCTCTACATTGCCATGTAAGCTTCTAGGACTTTGTACACTCATTTTGTGACTGATGAGAATAAAGGTGCAAAAAACAAGAATAAAGTGAATATGTATTGCAGAACTGCACACATACACTTTAAGGGACAGCAGCACCACTGCAGCCAAGATATCTCTGGAAGTGATGACTAAATTACAGAGGAAACAAGTGAAATGCTGCCAGGACCATCAGTCAGTGTTATCACAACTGTATGCTTCTCTAAGGTCACCAAAGTATGAGTCGCTGCCTTGACATTCTTCCAAGGGCAAGATGAACAAGAACAGGGCAAGGACTTAGAGTGCTAATGTTGCATGCCTTGGGGGAGAGGCTCCGAACACAGGACAAGAATGTTACCAAAGTACTTCAAAAACTGTAGAAAAAATTCAGTTCACGAGCCCCAAGAATTTGCAGAAAAACCACTAAAGCAGCTGAAAAGTTATAAGGAAACTTCTGAAGTGAAGATATTGCTCATGAACTTCATCTCCAGACTGGCAAGAATTCACAAGCTCTTTCTGTCCAACTGTGCACAGGTTTCTGCAGCAGCACCAAGAAGAAGAACAAGACCCTTCTGTTTGCATTACCTACTTCTCTGCACCTGGTAGTCCCAGAGACCACTGAGGTGCTGCTCAGGACCATGCCACCCATTCTGTCATGACAAGAACTCTGGGGAAGTCATGACAGGAGGAAGCAATGCCCTGAGAGAGATAACAGCTCAATGACTGAAAAACTTCCTGAAGACTTGGCCCAGTGTAAAAAACACTCTTGACCTCTCCTAAGACTCTGATTCAGTTCTTCCAAAAACTGAATCCTCAGATATCACAGAAGGAACTCCAGGGTAAGCCTACAGAGGCCTCAATAAAATCAAGGGTGCAAGAATATGGAGACTTAGATGCTAAAGATTACATTCCAGGAACTGAACTTCTGAAAGCTGAGGAACAGAACACTGAGAACCATCCAGATAGGTGGGGAAATACCAGGCTCAGCGAGAAGGAAGCTGATGTAAATGGGGGGGGGTGTGCACCACTCCTTTGATGAAGAACAGCTAGAAATCTCCAAGAAACTAAACAGGCTTCACAGAGGAGCCAGAATGTCCAGTCCAAAATAAGTGCTTCTTCAGAGAAGAGCAGCTGGTGCTACGGGATAAACTTCTGAAAAACGGAAAAAGCAGTAACTTCCAAGCAAATTTTCCATTCCAGGGAAAATGCTAAACTTGTGTTATTAATCTGAATATTAATGAATTAAGACTGCTGATTTGCATTTAAAAGTCCAGAAGCACTATTTTTTGAAAATCACCCCAAAAAAAGCACACTTGCTGAACAATGACTGGTTTGATCCCACTCTAAAAACTCTGCAATACAAAACTGAATCCTAATATGCAGGTTTCAATTAACAATGAAGCAACATTGGTTTATCAATTGTAGCAAACATAGTATGTTAATACAAGATGTTATTAATAAAGGAAAATGTAGTGTGGGTGATATGAGGACTTTCTCTACTAGCCACACAATTTCTATAAATCTAAAACTGCTCTAATGAAGTCTGTTAATTTTTGTAAAACCTGCATGTGTTAGATGGATTTGCAAATAAACATTTGCATATGCAAAGACAGGGGGAAAGCTCTGTATCAAACTTGTTAGCAGTGGTTTCCTACAGAGAGTGAGGAGCATAAGGAAGAATTTTTACATTATGTATCTCTCAACTGTCCAAAAACTTACTACACTGAGCAAGTAGCACATTGAGGGCCTGGGTGTTGAAACCAGACTGTGTGTGCTTAGTCGCTCAGTTGTGTCCGACTCTATGTGACCCCATGGACTACAGCCCACCAGGCTCCTCTGCCCATGGGGATTTTCCAGGGAATTCTCTTGGAGTGGGTTGCCAGGCCCTCCTCCAGGGGATATTCCCAACCCAGGGATCGAACTCAGGTCTCCTGTATTGCAGGTGGATTCTTTATTGACTGAGCCACCAGGAAACCAGACTGCATGGACTCAAACCCCAGCTCCATCATTATCCAGCTGACCAACTCAGGCAGCTAATCTCTCACTGCCTCCAGTCCCCTCATGTGGAAGTAGGGACAACAGTTTGTGTACCTGTACTGAGCTGCTGCAGGCATTAAATGACTCACTACCTGTAACACGTAGACCGGAAAACTATCTGGTCCATAAAGTGTTCAATAAATAGTGTCCACCACCAATAAGCATCTATTATGCCTCATTTAAAAAAAAAAAAACCTTGATCGGTAAGACAAAGAAGGAAAACTTGGTTCATCAAGCCCGTTCTGGTGAAATCTTCAATACAGAAAATACAATGTATTCAACTGCCAAATAAAAATGAGTATTTAACAGACTGCAAACCAATATTTGGCAATATAAGCCCATTTACATAATCACTAATAGATTCTACAAGGATAATCATAAAAACAAACCCCTGATTTGTGTTGTGATTTTTGCTGTGATCCTATTTACTTTTTCTTTTACATTTTTCTGACTCATTAACTTTCTACATTGAATATGTGTTGTTTTTAATAAAGTAAAGGAGTTGGCAAACATTTTCTTTTGAAGGCCAGATAGTAAATATGTTTACCGTTTACAGGCTATAAAGGTCTCTGTCCTAACTACTCAACTCGCACCACAAAAGCAACCAGCTAAAAGAGAGCATATGGCTATGTCCCATTGAAAATTTAATTTACATAAACAGGCAGCAGGTAGGACATTGCCCACAAGCTGTCAAGTTTACCCACCCCTGAAATAAAGAGAGAAACAAAACTGTGCTCATTTTGTAAAACAAAAAGAAAGTTCATCTGCTAAATTGACACTATTGATTGGGGGGAAGGTACTGTTCATTTATTAACATATGTAAGAGTAGGGACAAAAAAAATCAACTTTTTTATTTAGGCTCTGGAAATCCTCCTCTCATCCTTAGCGCCGCAGTTAAGAGAAAGCGTGCTAAGGAGCCTAAAGTCTGAATGGGAACACATACTAGTAGCTAGGCAATTACAAACAAAGGCAAAAAGAAATACCTTTCGTATTTAAATCGATTTGAAATTTCTTCAAATGTTATAATTCACGACCAGTGGCTGCCACCACAGGGCCTGAAGTCCCAACTAACTGATGAAAGGATTTTGGTTTTGGATCAGGACAGCATGGAAAAATTTATGAGAAGAGATGAAAACATCTATGGACAACTACCAGCACTAGAAGTGAAATTTCTATGAAATAAACATGAGGAGTGAAAAGAATCAGAAATGAACCGTCTATGAAAGTCTAACAGAATTAGAGTCAGAGGGTGGTAAAACGAGACACTCAAGTGGCCTTTGGTAGGACACTTCAAACTTCAAAAAGTTTCTGATCTCCGCCCCAAAAATAAAGCTTTGGGTTGGAAGAAACTATTCTCAACATTTCACTTGGGACGCAATTTGAAATGTTATGACAAGATTTCTCGGAGTTTTAAATGGTTTCTTCGGAGGATGGATGAAGGGCTGCGTTGAGAGGAGATGCGAGGGGAACAACCCAGGGCTGAGGAGTCCAGAGTCTAAACATAAAGACGTTAGCAGACCCCTCTGCTTAAAAAACACGCCGACCCTGCACAACAGTCCGCGTGCCGGGTACCAACCCGGCGGGACCCATGCACCTTTCTACCCCGCGACCGCGCCAAATTGTCAAGCCCCAGCGGCGAACGAAAACAAGGTCCACAGCCAGGGGCGCCCACAGCGAGCTCCGGCACAGACGCCCAGGCCCGGAGCCGGTGAGTAGCCGCCTCGAGGGGCGACACCGACCGACACATCGGGCCCAGGACCGGGTCCGACCAAGCCGCCTGCGCGCGGGCAAGCGCCAGTGAGGGGTCTTCCCGCCGCAAAAGCCGGATCCGGGCCCGAGCGGAGCCCACCTCGGAGTGCGGCCGGCAGAGACCCGGAGGGGTGACCCGGGGCCGAGGGGACCCGGGGCTGGCGATGGGGGCGGGAGGGGGGGACGTGGACCGAAGGAAACCAGGACCCTGGGCCGGGGGAGCCGTGGCTGAAGGGGACCCGGGGCAGCGGGACTCGGGACTGAGAAGATCCGAGGCTGGGGGAACCAGACTGCAGGGAGCGGAGGCTGAGAAGATCCCGGGGCTGAGAGGATACCGGCGGAGGGGGCCGGGGACTGAGGGGCGCCGGCCCAGGGGTCGGAGCAGGAGACCGAATAGCGCGCTCCTCGCCCGCCGCGCTGCCGGGACACCTGCCCTCAGCCCTCGCCCCCGCCAGCCCAACCTCCCTCCCCAGAACCGCGCTCCCACTCGAGAACCTCACCAGAGCTCGCCGCCGCCTCGCCGCACGTCTCGAGCTCCTCGGAACCGCGGCCGCTGGGAGCCCAGAGGAGCGGAGGTGGCGCCCACTGCCGCCGCCGCCGCCGCCGCGACCCAGCGTCCGGGAGTCTCCTACAGCTGCCGCCGCCGTGACGCTAATCACACGAGGCGGCCCTAGCCAATGATAAGGCGCCTCGTGCGCAGCCGCGCTGGTCGAAGCCGGAAGCGCCCCCTGGCCGCTCCAGGACCCGGAGCAGCTTGGGTGGGTCGGGAATCTAGCGGGAGGCGCCGAGCACCCGGGCACACGGAAGTCCCTTAGCTGTCCTCCCACCGGAAACGAGAGCATGTGCAGCGGAAGAGGCGTGGCCGGCCGGCCGGCTCGGGACGCTTCCCGGTTTCTATGGATACAGCCCGCAAGCCGCGGGCGGAACCGAAACAAGGGATTGCTAGACACAGTCGGAGGCGGCTTCAGACCTAAACGCGTAGCGTCTTGCCACAAGATAACGGCGATTGCTTTTTATTACCTCACGGAGACACTCCCATTTGTGCCTCACGACTTCCAGAAAAAGAATGTGAGCCCGCTCCTCTTAAAAGTATAAAATCAGAGCCATTCTAAAAATGTTTCAGTATAATAGCAGGTCAGAAACTAACTCAGCAATACTGTGTCCATTTGCCCAAAACGATTTATTTTCTACTTGTTTCAACTGAGCTTTAACTTCTTTAAACCCAAAATCTGCCTGCATACCTATTCTATAAGAAAACAAAGTGTAGAAGTTGGCCGGTGTAGAAAATGTTTTCTTCACATTCAGTGCTCTGAAGAGGTTATGTTGCCTTAACTGTCAAAAAATCTTGTTATACTAATTAAAGGAAAGCTATAAGCTTTCAAGGACGCCCATGCCCCAGGCTTGTCCATCCTGAAACTGAGTGGCACCTTGTGAGGCTCCCAGGCATGGAGGCCTCGTTTTTATGTCCCCCATTTCTTGTAAGCGAGACTCTACCCTCCACGTCCTTCCCTGAGTTCCAAAGGGCAGATTTGAACAGTTGCTAATCAAGGGAGGAGACGCCAAGAAACCACCTGAGGCAAGATTAAAGGAACCAGAGGAGTTTAGCTAGATTAGGAGACCACGTGAGACCCCGCCGGGCTTCCCTCCTAGCTCAATCGGCATAGAATCTGCCTGCAATGCAAGAGACCCAGATTCCTGGGTCAGGAAGATCCCCTGGAGAAGGAAAGGGCAACCATTCCAGTATTCTTGCCTGGAGAATCCCATGGACAGATTAGCCTGGCAGGCTACAGTCCATGCTGTTGCAAGAGTTGGACACAGGTAACAACTAAACCACCACCACCATGAGATCCTGTACACACCCTAATCTTATCAACAACCCCCACCCTTGGGAAATATTGCTGTATAAATGCATGCATGCTCAGTCATATCTGACTCTGCGGCCCCCTTGACTGTACCCTGCCAGGCTCTTCTAAAACTCCTTATCAAATCCTCCTGGGTAAGAGGGCTCTCACCCAACAATGCTGGCACCCTGATCTTGAACTTCTAGCCTTCAGAACTATGAGAAATAAACTTAACGTTGTTTATAAGCTTTTAAAAAAAAAGTTTCCTGGGTGGGGACACATTTTTTCAAGGCCTACTATATCCATCTCTGCCTGGCAAAATAATAAAGCTATCCTTTTCTACTTCACCCAAAACTCTGCCTCTGAGATTCAATTCCCCACTGGTGTACAGAGAAGCTGAGCTTTCAGCATCACTTCCTGGGACCATACCAAAAGAAAAAACAAAGGAAGCTGGAAAAGTGTCACAGATCTCATATCAAAAGACCTAGGGTCTGATACATAAGGAAAAATGTGTATAATAGAGAACTCTTCAGCCTGGAAATGTAAAATCTGAGAAGTGATTGAAGTTACTAAAATCAGAAAAAGCATGAATAAGATGGTCTTAATACTAGTATTTTAGAATGCTGGTATTAAGTCCGCCCAGGTAAGCTTGAAAAAAGCCGACAAGGACTTCCCTGGTGGTTCAGTGGTAAAGAATCTGCCTGCCAATGCAGGAGATACAGATTTGATCCCTGGTCTGGAAGGACCCCCACACAGCAAGGAACAGCTGAGACCATGTGCCAAAACTACTGAGACTCTGCTCTGGAGCCCAGGGGCGGCAGCTACTGAGCCCTAGAGCCCATACTCTGCAGAAGAGAAGCCAGCACAATCAGAAGTGCGTGTACCACAACTAGAGAAAGAGCTCCCGAGGCAAGGAAGAGCCAGCACAGCCAATAATAAAATACATACATAAATAAATTTTTTTTTAAAAAAGCAGACAACCTTGTACTTCTCCACCACCTCAGAAACGCCAGTGTGTCTGCACAGCGAATTTGACTTACAGAAGGCAGAGAGAACTGGGGCCTCAGGCTTAATGAGAGGTCTACTGAGGACGACAGAGCTACATAAAGATGAGATTGTTCAAAGACTTCAAACTTATCTGCATCCTACTCTAGGTGATTTTGTTTGACAAACCAAAGCACTTTACTCTGGAGCAGTCCTTGCCCTGATGAAACACATGAGAGAGAGCCTTGTCATTTTCCCCCCAAGATTTACCTCCCATTCTGTCATCATGTTCCCGCCTCCAGATCACTGCTGCCAGTTCCTGATGCCCCCCCAAAGATGAAACAAACCCCACCATTTCTTCAGAATGCTCACACCTTCTCAGTCAGTGAAGACATTGTCACCATCCCCAACCTGAGGGACTGTCTGTGAATGGCCTCACCCGTATCTCTTACCTAAAGGTCACCATTAAATGTCCCAAAGCAGATTTTTCAGGTCTCTCTTGCCAAATGTCCTTCAGTTCCTAATCTTTGTATGTTGTCTTCTAAGTAGCAGTGCAAAAACCGAGGGGAATTCAGTCAAATTCTGCATCCTCCAGTGTCAGCTGGATCTTTAGAATGTGGGTTCCCTCCATCCTGAAGGTGTCCCACTTCTCCACAGGAGAGTGGAGTACTTCCTCTCAACAGCACCCAGAAGAGTCCCTACTCCCCATCCTAGTCACCGGTGACCAAACACTGCCCAGCAGCATAGCTAGTCGGATGTGGTCATTGGTACAATGACCAGATGCTGCTGACAGAGAGGCGCATCACTGGGTAACATTCATAATCCAGGTGCGGTCACTCCATGATGAGGCATCAGGGGCACTATGTGGAGCAGCTGAAATGGTGACAATGGACTTGCTCTGAGGACAGGCTCAGCCTGCATTGTGATCTGCAGGTCAACAGCCAATGAGAACTGAGGAGGTCCCCAAAGTGAGCAGCAAGTGAAAGTGCAGCTTTCAAATTCTGAAGCATAAAGAAAATACTCTAGACCTCATAGTGAATTTAATTTTGGGATCCGAATATGTTTGTTGTTGGTTTTTTTTTTGGCGGCGGGGGCGGGGGGGGGGGGTGAGGGGGAGCAAAGTTTGTTTCCTTCTCCAATAAAGAAAAGAGAAATTATTTCATTTGTTATTTTTTAATCAAAGCAATTGCTATTTTTAAGAGAAAAAAAGACATTATTCTACTAGTGACAATCAAAAGTATCAGTGTTCTTTGAAAGAACTTTTCAAAGTCTGCAGCTTTTCCAAAAAGAAAAATTACAAAAGGAAATTTACAGCTTCATTATTACACAATACCTAAAACCAACCTAAACTTTTCTTTTCTCTTCCAATATCTCTAAGTTTTTGAAAGATAAACATCCGAAGTAAGGGGGAAGAAATCTGGACAAAGTGGGGAATGGACCATAAAAAAGAGAATCCAAGAAAAAAAGAGCAAGAAACGTCAAACCAGCCCTTGTGTTTGTCTCATATATATGTTGTAGAAAAGGGGAAATTTATCTATACCCTCTTAAGTTTTGTGGTGGGCCTAAGGAGTAAACAGATAAGACATTCACAAGAGAAAAACTTATAAATTTAGTATTTTTACACAGGAGTCTTCAGAAAGAAAGTGAAGACGTGAAAAATTCATTAGAGCCAAAAGCTTATATTCCTTTTTACACAAGAAAAAATTGTGGTGATGCTACAAGATAAAGGGGCTTTGGTGAGGGGCAGTAAATTGGGGTGACCCAACAGTGCCCTGCAGTAGAGCTAGTTGGATGTGGTCACCTGTACAAACTGGAGGACAATACCTAGGAAATATGCTGCAGGAACTCATGAAAGATCAGGCTCACTCTAGTGGAGTTCTCAGTACAGGTCCATTTTGGTTTAGGTCAGCTCCCAGTCTAAGGAGATTCTTCAGAGTCATCACGCCGTACACCGTGAACTTACACAAAGTTTAACGTCAATCTCTCTCAAGAAAACTGGGAGACAGAAAAATAAAAGAATGTTCTCTTCCTGTTGTAAGTGTGAGGCGAGCAGAAGTAAGGCCATGGCAGGCAGCTTAGATGAGGAGTAGGCCTTCCTACTTCCGGGTGGTAAGATTATCAGGCCACCTGGATA